ATTTTCAATTCTAATACATATACAGCATGTAAGTTCTAAGCTGCTTCCTGACCATACTATCTTTAATTTTTGGAGGACTATCAGGGAATAAAGTTTGATTTTTTTTGTCCCGATCCTGTATATATCTACTCATGAATTGAAATTAGGTAGTACCAGAGACATTCAGATCAAACAGCATATATATATGTATATATATATATATAGGGAGAGAGAGAGAGCATTTTTATGAATTTCTTTTTTAATCTTTAATTTCAAATGTAAAAGAAAAATAGTAAATATTCGTATAAACTGAATTGAAGATAAAAGAAGACTAAAAAACTTTGTAATAAGTAAATAATCCTTTTTTCACTTATTAGTCATCTCATTTCCTCATGATCTGTAGTTTTTTTCTTTATATTTCTTGTGAGCTTTAGTCAAGATATTTATGAACAAACTTATTTCTTTTTTTTTCTTACATTATTATGAAACTTTATTATAAACTCATTTTTCTTTTATAAAGAATGAAAGCATTAGTATTATCTTTTTACTAAAAAATAGAATATTTGAAAAAAATTCCTCGAAATTGAGTTTTGACTAGACTTGACTTAACAGCTTTGATAATAACTAATGACTTGATTTGTTTATGTCTGATAATAGATACTTTTTGAGAATAATGCATAATAATAATATCGGGATGTCCAGTGTTTGCCTGACAAGTTCTCCGAATAGGTTGATGGAAAAATTATTTTTCGTTTAATTGTATGCAACAAGAATTTTCAATTAACTTCAAGATATAGAAAAAAAAAGTAGTATGATACATTTTTCTGAGCAAACCACATGTCTTTTGATGAAGCATAAAATAAATAGAAGCAATCCTATTGATATTATGATATAGTTCCTAGTTGAAATAGAAATAAAATTTCAGATAATAACTACTTATCCAAGTGATTGATCTAACTCTATTTTATAAATTATTATTTATTAACACGATCCATATGAAGAAAAATTTGTTCTACTTTGTAACTATTCTAATATTCAAAGGTGACAACATTAAATTTCTATTATAACAATTGTTCGTTCTTTCAAGACTTCTTGAAAATCAAATAGTTATGAAATTATACTATTTCATATTTTCTGAATAAAAATACAAAACAAAAGATTTTCTTCATAATTATCTCCTCTTCAAAGTTAATAGAGTATATAAATGAACTATGATTATCAAGTACAAAAACTAATGTAAATTCGAAGCACATAATATAACCGACATGCAAACAATATAAGATAAGAACAATAAATTTTATCTAAGCAATTATATCTTTAAAATAAGAAATTACATTTAATACAAAGCAAAAAAATAATCATATTTTCTTTGTTTTTTGTTCAATGTTAATAATTGAAATACGTTATAATGGATTATCTAAATAACAAGAATTAGGTTTAATTATCAATCTTTTTTCCACAAGCAATGAGAACAAAATCGATTAAGGCAAAAAGAACTATAAGAATATATATAAAAAAAGTTGATTCCACTAGTTATTCAAAAACATGAAACTTTGTATTGTACAAAGTTTCAATAAAATTTTTAGACTCAAGATTTCTGTAAAGAAAAGTACATGTGAATTACATTTTTTTTTCTTCGGAGTAAAATTTAAATGAATACATAATCTAGAAATTAGGATAATTTAAAATACATGCCTTTATTGATTGTTAAAAACTTTTATAGTCTGCTTTTTCTAGTTTTGAAAAAAATCAAAATGATTTTATTACTAGTTCATAAGTAGTAGTCGATGAAACATATCCTTTTAATATAGAAGTTATACTCTATCTAACAAAAAGAAAGAATGAATTTTCTGAGTATCATTTGTTCAAATGCAATTGAATCTGATATTTATTCACGAACTTTTACAGTATCTATTATTTCCCATTGAGAAGCAGGAGAAAATATATAAATGAATTTTTATCATTCAAAACAAAAACCTAATATAAATCCCGAACACAAAATACCGACACACAAACAATATAAGATAAGAACAACGAACTTTATCAGAATAATTATGTCTATGCAATAAAAAAATGTGCATGGAATTCAAAACAAAACAAAAATGATCATATTTCTTTTTCCGATTTTAATAATTGAAATAAGTTAATGGATCATCTAAATAACAAAAATTAGATTTCATTAATTGATCATAGAAAAAGATTGTTTTTTTTTGTTTTTACCTTCTGTGAATACACATGTTGCAACATTATGTTTAATAGTTTCATGTAATGCATAAAAATCATATTTATCTTGATTTGGATGACGATGAACACGAATATGAAGATATAAACCATCACCAATAAATACTTTTAAAAAATAATTCGTACCATAAGCAACTTTTTCTTCAGCATATTTTGTTACTCTGAATATTTTTAATAAATATCTATTGTATTTGATAAAATTAAAACATACTTCCAATTAGCTATATGTTTTTCTCGATTTTCTTCTGTAAAACGATGTACTTTATGTTCTTGATGTTTTTTATATAGAGCATCAATAGCTGAGAAAATGACTTCCGGTTGTTCACTATTTCAATAAAATAATATAATTTTAATTATTAATAGAAAAAAATTAATAAACCTTAGTTTTTGAATTTCAGGTGTAGCATCCTATAATAAAATAAAAACAAAAAAGAAAGTTGGTTTTTTTTTTGTGTACGAAAAAATAAATATATTCTACTGATCAACAAACCATAACAGGACCCATAGAGTTATGTTGTTCATCCGACATAATTGAATTATCTTGATGCTTTTTATGCTTTCGTTCAATTTATTGTCTCGTTGTAAATAATCGTGTCGATATGAATAGAAGAACGCGTTGATTGACAAAAAAAAAGAGAAAAGGAAAAAAAAGATTTGAATCTTGGCAACAATCTATTGCCAACCAAAGAAATGTATATGACTGGTTTGCTTTATATAGAAGTAATGAGCCAATAAATACACGTATCCTTAGTTTACCTTAGTCCAACTATTTTCCTTCTGTTGGATCAATTACTCACTAACTAAACTTGATTTTCATTGAATTCATTTAAATAATAATATTATTCATCTTATGCTCTATCAAATCCACTCATGCACTTGTTCACATCGTTTTATAGTTGGATCTCTATTTTTATTTATTTTGTTCAAATCATTCACTAGCGTCATCTCTATGATAGACATATCTATGTCGTTTTCTTTCTTCATTAGAACCATCGATTCTAGCAATTTATATATTTTTTTTTTATCAATGAACTGTCTTAAAAAATGTTGATTTCTACTAAAACTTGATAGCATTCGAGTTTCATTCGACTGCGAAATGTTATATTTCAAACGTTAATTTTATCGAAAAAATCGATATCTTATTAAAAAAAAAAAGAACGAATGATCGTTTCTATGATTGGTTACAAAACTCTTTTCTCCAAACGATATTTACATTTTGATTAAGCAGATGATAGAAGTTAGAAAGAAACTGTAAGTAATCATGGAGAAATACATTACTAAGAGAGCTCTCAAAAATAGATATTTACATGTTTTTAATAAATACTTTCGATTGATTATTTGTTTCTGTCTCTAACAAAGAGAGCGACGACTAATTTTTGTTGTTGCCTTCATTTTAATAATTATCTCAAAGCTTACAGAAAAAAACAAAATCTAAAAAATAAATAATATTTTTCAGCAGCTATCTGTAGAAAAAAAATCGAACGTATCATTGTAGATGACAAAAAAAAACAGATAGTATTGATTTGATCATCGAATACTATTCTCTGATTTTTTTGCTCATCGTTACAGAAAATAGAAACTTTCGATACTTATATCAAGAAAGAAAGAAAAGAAAACTCGCCAAGAACTACATAAATATGATGCTTTGCATTGCATTAATAATCAACTTCGAACACTAAAGCAAAACAGCCGATATATATCTGGTATAAATGGATTAAGAGCACTTACGAATAGACAGAGCGGTAATGGAAATTTTTTATGGGCATTGCATTTTGATTTGACAACCGAACAATAGTAATCGAGCGTAACCACATGCGGTTGACAACTCATAATTCACTATAATATGGTGCTACAATGAATATAACTAAGATTATTATCTATTAGTTTTATTACGTTCTAGTTGATTCTGAAAAGTATATAAATCTCAATCAGTAAGATCAAAGATTACAAATTAATTAGAAAGAAATTATGTTCAAATTTTTAATTCAGGTTTTTTACATAAATTTTATTTCGAATATTTCAATTTGCTTTACTTTTAGAAAAATACAAAAAAAAATTTGTTGCAATGTGATAAAATTAGGTCTAAGTAGTAATGAGATGATTTAAAGTTTAATATAATGTTAGAAACATGGGCGAAAGAAATTTATATATTCTTTCTTTTTTCTTTTGCTCAATTTTTATTATGATATTTGTATGTAATAATGACTAGAGATTTTCCTCTGTATCTGCACAAATTTATGAAGTAAATAAACTAATTATTTATTCTTCGTTCTCTCTAGAAATCATAGTTAATTCGATCAGTTTAGAGTACAGATGTCCACTGCGATGGTTCCGGTAGATTGTTAGACACGATGAACATATCTCATCTAGACAAAGATTGGATCAAGAATTTACTTGTTTAAGTTAAAGAAATTATCGATTATATCATCGTCTTGATGTTCATCATGATCATCTCCGTTCATTACAGTTTTATTTCAATTTTACATATAGTTATCGATATTTTTCATACAAAACTTGTAGAGATCAAGCTGCTTCTATCACTTGGTTGGTGTAACGCTCTTATTATGATAACTTGCGGAATTCAATAGCTATAAAAATAAATGCCTTTTCTTTCTCTCATTGCTCTGCTGCTTTTTTTCTGGATTTAACCGCGAAGAGTACGCCTATCGTATTGGATGACGATTCGTCATATTGTTTCGCCAACAATAAACAATTTGCCAGTAGCCTAATAGCAACGACACAAATTATAAATCATGTTATCCTGATTCGATTTATATTGTTCATCTATTATAATGTTTCTATAAAATAAGAAATTCGATTAAAATGATGTCATATTTTCTTAATTATTGAATAAAATCGTTCCTGGTCAGAGAATTATTTTTTTCATCATATTTACAATATTTCGATATAATTAGGTCATAGCATAAACGTAAGTTAAAAGAGGAGAAACGAATAGACACAACGCTGCATGTAAAGATTGATGAAGCATAAACTACATAAACGTTATCGGTTATCAAAAAAAGAAATCAATTAACTTGCCATTAACACAAACATGATCAAAAATTCAAATCGAATATATTGATATTCGTCTCTTCGTTCGATCGATATAGAATGGACTGATTTTTGAAAAACTGATCGTTCTTGTGCAATCGTTTTTATTGATACAAAATTTATTTTTGTTGATTTTACTTGTCGAGAATCAAATGATGATGATGAAAGTTTTAAAACTAAACAAAAAATGATTGATTTATTTTTGTAAAACATAATAGGAATAAAAATTAGTACATATTTCACACTCTTCTCCGACAGATATAATCAATAAATAGAAGGTTATCAGAAAGTTACTGTGAAATAAATCTGGATATAAGATAAATGTCTTTCGTCATGAACAAATATCAACAGTATGTAGTAGTTCAAATAAGGAAACATATGTTACTAAATTCCCTTATTTATCGTACTTTAGATTTTTAATTCCTTAGACACTGTGATAACAATTTCTTTTGTTTTTTACCTGATCGTTCTTTATTATTATTTGTTGATATTGATGTTTGATTAGTTTGTTTTTTGGTATTGTTGATGAAGAAGTTTTTATTTTATTTTTATTATAATTTGATGATGAAGAATTTGTTGATTCATTATCAAATGTTTCAGTTTCAGATTCCGATGTACTTGAAGAAAGTATATTTGATGGTTTTATTTTATTTGCTACTTTACAATTAGATATTGTGGAAGATTTTATTGCTGATTCTTTTGTTGAAGCTGATACAGGTTTAGGATCAATTGATTGTCGAGATTCATTACTTTTACGAGCCTAAAATAAAGAAATTTATTTAAAAAAAGATTCTAGATCTTCTTTGTTTTATTGGAAAAGAGAAAAATACTCGTTGTCTAACTTGTGCAGATGATTGTTTAGATTTATTTGTTTTCTTTTGATTTTTTTTTCTTCTTCATGTTGTTGTTGCTGTTGTTGTCGTACACATATTAAACTTCGTCTTCAATCACTATCCATACTTGTATGATCACCAAAATAAGTACTTGGATCATTCATTGAACCCATTTTTTTTTGATAAATCTTCATAAACATATACGTAAATAAATATCTAAAGAAAAATTAATTAATTAATGAATAAAAATTTTCTTTTTTTTTTTATCCATATGGGCAAAATAGGATATGCCCCCCTTTCATTTGATTTTAATTTTTTACAACTATGTTCCTTCTGAATAAATTTTTTTAGCATAGACATATGTAAAAATGTTGGCGCTTTCAGATGGTACCTAATTATAGTTAATTAATTAATTAATTAAGCAGTAATTAGTGGATATCTCTCTAAAAATAAGAGATAAAAATCTAAAAATTTCAGGATAGACTTTAGAATCGAAACTACATCTATGATAAAATTTTCAGCGAGATCGGATGCAAAAAATTTCCCTCATAAAAACCGACTCTTCAGAGACCCCATCAAGTCTGGACATATAAATCTTCGTTTAATTATTCTCTCAAGGGTCTAAGGAAGAATTTCTATCTTTTCAAATTGGTTTCGAACTTCTCATTGAGATATGAGAGTATTTTTTCATTTATGTATTCGTACTCGTCACGTCGCTAATGCAAAGTAAATCATATTTTTCGAAAAATCTGTGCATGCTCCAAAAATACTTTGAATAGTAATTTTAAAGCTCTATGATTTGTCTATACAATGCACTATTTAGTTTTCTTTAAATTCTACCTTTGCTTGAAGTTTTTTTAAGCTAAACCGAAAAAAGTGAAAATCGATGTCTTTTTTTGAGTCACGTCACTAATGTTACTTTTTTAGCGATAACTCCTGTCAGACGAAGTCTCTAAAGTTGATTTTTTCAGTGTATCTGCAGCAACTTAGCACACATATACCATATCAAAATTAGCTCTAGAAAAGCTTTTCGTTTCGAAATATACGTGTTTCAATTTTGCGGTGTCACGTCGCTATTAAATGATTTTACCTATATACTTTTTATATGCATGTTCTATTGATCGACCATTTTCAGATGATGTTTCATCTGGTAAACCCATTTTTATATGAACTTTACTTCATTGATCATTTTTTGTAACCTAAATGAAAATTTTTAATGATTTTTTTGTTTTTTTATTAATTAAAAGACAAATATCTTTTAAACCTTGTTATAACCGCCTAACATACGAACGATTTTAAATAAACGATGAAGATCAAGATCATAATTTTGAACTTCAGAAATATTATTTATTGATGTATTTAAAAAAGTTTAAAATAAAACAAATATTTAATTAATAATAATACTTATTCAAATAGAAATGCATAGATTTAAATATTCTACTGTATGTACAAATTGTTAACTTGAGTTTCAATAAGACAAATTATTATCTATGCGTAGATAATAGTAGAAAAAGTTAAAAACCTTCTCATTAAAAGAAAACTAGAATGAATATTTGATTCATATTATTTATAACACTTTCAAAAACTGAAATAAATCTATATCTAATAGACTTATTCTGTTTATTTTTCTTTATTGGACTTTATTTCATGAAAATTCTAATTTTACTAAAGATAGTTATGTAGTATACTATGTGTTTTGTAGTTTTTCTTTTTTTTTTGGATCGTATCACTTCAAATATTTTAACAAGATATTTCTGTTTTCAATTCTATACAAAAGTGTTTATTTCCATGAACAAATACAATTATGCTTAATTTTTCGACATTCGATATAAATTTTCTTGTCTATATAAAGATTCAAATGTTACATAGACTTATTTCTAACTCATGATTTGAATAGATTCATTTGAAGTATTGTTTATAAATGAACTGAAAAGCTACTCTATATAATATTTGAACTCTTATACGTACAAAAACATGCTGTGAAAAATATTTCAAACATTAAAATTTTGAGCAAATTTTTATTAACTTATTCCAATTTTTATATCAAATTTTGAAAAACTAAGTACATTTATATCTGTCCTTTGACGTATAACATTTTGTAGAAATTTGAAAGGAGAATATTTTAAGTTAAAAACATTTAAGTTGATGATACTTAAACAAGAAAAAACCTATAAAACACATATGGTGCCATGATTTATCACATATTCATTACTATATTTTGTAATAGTATTTGAAAGTTTTTTTTTAATGACAGATTGGTTTTGAAAGAAAAACACGTTAAGATAACCATTTTATGCCATTAGGAAAGAAAAGTGGAATAAATCTACTGAATATAAAGAATGGGGGCACATAAGAGCCATTTTTGGGCCATCTTTATTTTTGGTCGATTCATGGTTAACCAGATGCAAAATTTTGCGAGGAATCGTTTGGTGACAAAATAAAGCTACTTTTCAAGAGTTTCTATGGACTTTTACCTCAAATACTGTTATTGACTTTTGTGCTATAAATACATAATTCACATGCAAACGAATCGGACATGTGCTTTTTCCCAAGTAAGATGTTACGAACCGAAAATTATGTCAAACAGCTGCCAACCTCAAAGTCTATGTTTGGTAAAAATTTCAACTCGAACGGTCTAAGTTTTGCTAAGTAATAGAGTAAAACTTATCCAGAGTCAGCATAAAAATCATATAATTCTCTTATCACTTCTATTTACTGTTTTCTCAATATCTCGACAAAGGAAAAAAACCACATGGGTTTTTTGTTGATTCTTATAGCTCGAAAGAAGAGCTACAAAATGAGACATTTTTCAATTTTCTTAGAAGTGGCCTTCGTTGAATCAGCCGATCTGAATTTCCTTGGAACCTCATATTTTTGCATTTTCCACCAGTTTTCAATAGGTTTTCATCGGAAAAAATC